GGCCTAGCCCTCTACATCATTGGGGACAAGGCCCAGCTCAAGGGCGTGCGGCCAGACCCCCTGCAGCAGTGGGAGCTGGTGCCCATCGAGGTGTTTGAGGCCCGGCAGGTGAAGACCAGCTTCAAGAAGCTGCTGAAGGCGTGTGTCCCAGGCTGTCAGGCCTTGGAGTCCGGCCCCACCTCCTTCCTGCGCTCGCTGGAGGATTCGGAGTGGCTCACTCAGATCCACAAGCTGCTGCAGGTGTCGGTGCTGGTGGTGGAACTCCTGGACTCGGGCTCCTCCGTGCTGGTGAGCCTGGAGGACGGCTAGGACATCACCACGCAGGTGGTGTCCCTGGTGCAGCTGCTCTCGGACCCCTTCTACCGCACGCTGGAGGGCTTCCGCCTGCTGGTGGAGAAGGAGTGGCTGTCCTTTGGCCATCGCTTCAGCCACCGAGGGGCCCACACCCTGGCCGGGCAGAGCAGCGGCTTCACGCCCGTCTTCCTGCAGTTCCTGGACTGTGTGCACCAGGTGCACCTGCAGTTCCCCATGGAGTTCGAGTTCAGTCCCTTCTACCTCAAGTTTCTCGGCTACCACCACGTGTCCCGCCGCTTCCGGACCTTCCTGCTGGACTCGGACTATGAGCGCATTGAGCAGGGGCTGCTGTACGAGGAGAAGGGGGAGCGCAAGGGCCCGCAGGCCTGCAGGTCTGTGTGGGAGTATGTGGACCGGCTAAGCAAGAGGACGCCCGTGTTCTACAACTACATGTATGCGCCCGAGGACACGGAGGTCCTGCGGCCCTACAGCAACGTGTCCAACCTGAAGGTGTGGGACTTCTACACGGAGGAGACGCTGGCCCAGGGCCCCCCCTACGACTGGGAGCTGGCCCAGGTGTCCCCGGAGCCCCCGGAGGAGGAGCGGCCTGAGGGCGGGGCTCCCCAGAGCAGGCGCCGCGTGGTGTGGCCCTGCTACGACAGCCGGCCCCGGGTGCAGCCCGATGCCATCTCACACCTGCTGGAGGAGCTGCAGCGGCTGGAAACAGAGCTGGGCCGGCCCCCCGAGCGGTGGAAGGACAACTGGGATCGGGTGAAGGCTGCCCAACGCCTCGAAGGCCGGCCAGACGGACGTGGCACCCCCAGTTCTCTGCTGGTGTCCAGTGTGCCCCACCACCGCCGCTCGCTGGGTGTGTACCTGCAGGAGGGGCCTGTGGGTTCCACCCTGAGCCTCAGCCTGGACAGTGACCAGAGCAGTGGCTCAACCACGTCCGGCTCCCGCCAGGCCGCCCGCCGCAGCACCAGCACCCTGTACAGCCAGTTCCAGACTGCCGAGAGCGAGAACAGGTCCTATGAGGGCACCCTCTACAAGAAGGGGGCCTTCATGAAGCCCTGGAAGGCCCGCTGGTTCGTGCTGGACAAGACGAAGCACCAGCTGCGCTACTACGACCACCGCACAGATACAGAGTGCAAGGGGGTCATCGACCTGGCGGAGGTGGAGGCCGTGGTGCCTGGCACTCCCACCATGGGCGCCCCCAAGACCGTGGACGAGAAGGCCTTCTTCGACGTGAAGACGACTCGTCGTGTTTACAACTTCTGTGCCCAGGACGTGCTGTCGGCCCAGCAGTGGGTGGACCAGATCCAGAGCTGCCTGTCAGACGCCTGAGCCCAGCCCTGCCGCGCTGTGTCCAATTACAGACCATTAGGGGTGGGCAGGGCCCCCCGGCCATGTTTACAGCCCCCACCCTTGACAGTATTGAGGCCCAGCCCCCGAATTTGTGTGTACAGCCCCTGCCAACCCCACCCTGCCCACCCTGCCCGCCTGGCCAGCTCTGACCTGCTTTGGAGTCTGGCTGAGCGTTGGCGGGAGGCGCCATGGTACAGCCCTCGGTGGGCCTGTAAATAGCCCCGCCCTGTCCGCGTGGTGGCCCCGGCGGCCCGCAGGCACCCTGTTCCTACCAGAGTCTATAAAGAGAACGAACATGTGAAAAAAAAAAATAATAAAATAAAAAAATAAAAACCAGGGCCTGCAGGCCCGGAGCAGCGGCTGCCAGGCTGGGAGCGGCCAGGCCCGGAGCAGCCTGGTCGGGTGCGGCCAGGCCCGGAGCAGCAGCTGCCAGGCTGGGAGCGGCCAGGCCCGGAGCAGCAGCAGCCAAGTCCAGAGCAACTAGGTCGGGAGCGGCAGTGACCAGACCCGGAGCAGCTGGTTGTGGAACGAACCAGATCAACAGAGGCCAGGCCCTGAGCAGCCAGGCCCGGAACAGCTTGCTCCTCACCTGCCCCTGCCCCACGGCTGCGTCTCAGACATGGCTGGAAACTTTCGTAGGAACTTGAGGGTCTGCTGAATCAAGTGATGAAGGCTTAGATCTGGATGTGTGGAGTTAGTATAGGGCTGGGGTGTTGATCTGTGAGTGCCTTGGGTGGGGCCTGGATGAGGCTGGTGGACCTATTGGGAAATGTCTTTTGTGTGAAGTGTATCATTGGGCATGTGGAGGTATTATTGATTTGAGAAAATGCTAAGTAACTGATTCACTACCTGAAAAGGGATTTACTATTGGGGAAATGGAGGGAAGAAGAGACTGAACATAAACTGCACCAATGGATGAGGACAATGGGGGATGGGGAGGGGGCGGAGGGAGGGGTGGGAACCTGGTGGAGAAATGAGGAGCCTTTGTAATAATATGAACAATAAAGATTGATTAAAAAATAAATAAATAAATAAATAAATAAATAAATAAATAAATAAATAAGATAAAAACCAGGGCCTGTTTTGGGTGTAAAGGCAATAAAAAGATGAGATGTGGTTTTGCATGAGTTTTACTTTCACTCTCAGAACGGTAGGGCCATAGGTGGTTGTGTAAAAAAGTAGGGACATTTTCTGAGGCAGGATTTTAACTTTTCCTAACATTGCTCAGAAGAAGAACACACTAGAAGACAGGACAGCACTTGTGAACACACTTTTAAGTTTAATCTACCTGAACATGTATCCTGACCAGATTCGATCACTGGCCTGCAGGATCATGGGTTAACAGTAAACTACTGACCCACACCAGCAGTTCTCTCCTAAGATTTTCAGAGGTCCCATTGGACCTGTAACCAGAATAGCAATGAGCAGTGGCAGCTCATCCTGGGCTACCCCCCTGAATCTGCATTCAAGACATTTTCTTTGAATGCCCAGTGAGCTAACAGTAGCCTCCCTGTGGCTCATTTATTTCCCACAATGTTTCTAGACAGTGGTTAACAAAAAAACAAACAAAAAACCATTGAAAGCTGTAAAGAATTTTTGAGTTTATTTGAGCCAAACTGTCGACATATGCCAGGAAGCAGAACCTCAATGGACTGAGATAATGCTTTGAAGAATGGCAGATTACATTTCTATTTATACATTGCAATCAAAGGAGGGACATAGGTGGGTTACACGAAATTCATTGGTGATGGACTAAGGGAGGCAGAAGAAAGCAAAGTGGAGGGAAACCCCTAGGATTGGATAAAAAGTAAAATGATGGATGTGTACTTAGGTGAGTGATGGAACAATTAACATGATAACAAAGGAATTTGGGGTATCTGCCCACCCCATTTGGTTGTACCTCAGGGGCTCCAGAAAAAGGGAAGTTACAAGTTACCCTGACATTTCATAGATGTGTTATCTTAGAGGCTGGAAGGCAAATGGGCTCAATAAAGAAGATCTAAGTTGATCTTTTTCTGGTGAAATATCGGTCTAGGACATGACTACCCATTATAACCTGTTTGTAGTTAGATATTTAATTTTAAAACCATCTTTTGTGGTTATTTTAGTTCTCTGAGTTTGCAAGGCTGCCACGCAAGCCTCCCCTGAGCTTGTCAGGTTAGCATGTAGCTCTTTTCCTTCACAGAACTAAAGAAGCCAAGCCTAATCTCTCTGCTGTTGCTTGTTCTATCATGAGGCCTACAATTTTTTTATTATACCCAGGTTTAATTAATGTTTCCTCAAAATCTTTTCCAACAGGAAGTAATGAATCAAACACAGACCAAACTGAGGCAGACCCACTGTAGGCTACTTCTTGTTCCCAAATACTGCTATGCCTGGGACATCTTCTATAAAGACAGACCAAGGCATGATTTTCTTAGAGGACTTGGAAGAAAATGTGATGCCCTCATTCACCTCGGTGTTGTTGACTCAATTCAATCTTAACACTAATCTTTTTTTATTGATTTTTTTAAAAAAATTTTTTATAGAAAGGGAGATGGAGAAACATAAATGATGAGAGAGAACCCTTGATCTGTTGCCTAATGTGTGCTACCTAGAGGGATGGAGCCCCCAACCTGGTTATGTGCCCTGTCTTGGAATCAAACCAGAAGATACCTTGGTTCATGAGTCCACGCCAACCACTAAGCCATGCCATGCGGTCCAACTACCTTTTTTCATTGTAGTCTCTATTACAAATAGTCCCAATTTCCACCATCCTCATCCCCCTTTGCTTACCTCTATCCTGCCCCCACCATTTCGAGGCCATCACTACATTATTGCCTATGTCCATTCATATATGTATACACTTTAAAATATATTTTTATTGATTTTAGAGGAAGGGTAAGAGAGAATTACTGATTTCCTGCCTCCTGCATGTCCCCACCCTCACCGAACTGAGAATTGGACCTATAATCCATGTATATTTCCAGACCAGGAATAGAACCTCAACCTCATGGATCACAGGTCAATGCTCAACCATCGACCGACACCAGCTGGGCTATATTATTTTAAATAAAATAAAATGTATTCTTTCCCCTCATTAATAGTAGTACAGATGTCTCCCATTTTCCCCTGTGCATATATTCCTTGGGGGATCTCTCCCAATTCTCCCCATACACCTCTCCAGTGAGATCTCCCAGTCTGTTCCAATGAGCCAGGCCTCTGGCTCCATCTTGTCCTTCCCCAGGGCCACTTGCTGAACCACATCACCTTTATTGATGAATGTCATTGACTGGGATGCTAGCCTTCCCCTTAGCATTTTTGAAAACTACATTACCCAGTGAGGATGTGCCAATACCGGTGGAGCAAAGGGCAACTTTAGTGTCAGTGCATCTTGTTAGGGGAGGACCTCCTTCTTCCTACTCCTTGTGTGCATTTTGACCTCTTCAGTTTCTTCAAGGACTCCCTGGCTTCAGTCCACTGTTCATGATTAGGAGGAGGCCTAGGAGGCATTTTCTGTGCACCAACAGGCCAGGATTGGAGCCTCTGTGTCTCCCAGACTCTTCTCTGCTTACAGCTTTCTTTGAGCCTGAGCCCATTTAACCCTCCAACCTTGAGGACTAGCACCTCTCATTTAGGGCAGCCCAGAAAGCTACATCCAGAATACTGAATCACTCCTGGGTGACGCAGAGTGTGGTGGGGGAAAAAGGGCCACAGGTTGCAATGCCAATTTCTAAGGATAAGGTGATAGGGCTGAACTGGTGATGGGGCTGAGCCAGAGAAGGGGCTAAGGAGGGAAGATTAGGAAAACCCAGGCCTGTTTGGGGTGTAAAGGCAACAATGAGATGAGGTGTGGTTTTGCACGAGGAGTTTTACTTTCTATCTCAGGACATTGGGGCCAAAGTTAGTTGGAAAAAAAGAAGGACATTTTCTGAGGTAGTGTCCTAACTTTTCCTAAAGTTGTCCACAGGTAGAAAATACTCGAAGGCAGAGGACAGCTGCTGTGGACAGGAAGGGGGAGTCCTGTAAATAATAAGGTAACTGGCATAAGTTTGCACTAAGGTCTGAGCTTTGAGATAATACAGGCATCTCAAGATCACCTGGGCCCATAGGTCCTGGCTGTGTTTGCCAGGCTCTAAACAGACCATTTTTCCCCCGTGAATTCCTGCAAATGCAGTGTGAATTAGGTGTACTGATTCATGAAGATTATTTTAGGGCTTCACACTCTTGTGGCTTATGAAAGAATAGTGTCCTGGGACTATGAACCATGGATATAAGGTACTTTAAATAGATACTAAGCCCAGAATCCTAAGGCTATGACTAGGGCTTCCTGAAATGAAACTTCTTCCTGTCAACCAGTGTAACCATTGGGAGGTCCTTTAAGGCAATGGTCGCCAACCATTTGTCCATGACCACTGGTGCTTCGTGAGGCTGGAAAGGTTGCCGACCACTGGTTTAAGAATATTTTTGGAGCAGTGGTCGTCAACCCGTGATTCATGGATCACTGCTACTCTGTGAGGTCCTAAAAGTTGGTGACTACTTTTCCAGGGCATAGGTTCCAGAATGTGCAAAGGCTTTGTATGAAGAGTGAGCTGATTCAGGGACCAGCAGGTATATTTATTAAATATATAAACACAGTCATGTTACCTCACCAGTGCATGTGTTTCTATTCAACCAACTAATGCATGTCAGCCAGGGCTGTAAATCATTTTAATATAGAAAATCATGGTCAGGTTGTAAAGGTAGTAGTATCTCAGAAGGGGCAGTGTGAGCCTGAGAACTGGCTTTTCAGCTGGGGCCACTCTTTGTGGGAGGTGGGTGTCACAACACAGAAGAGGGATAGAAGTTGTCATGTAGTGTTTGGGGAGAGGTAATCATTTTTCAGTGGTCAAGGCCTTTTAAAATGAATGGACCTGAGATTAACTGGAGGCTAAATAATTATTCAAACAAGATGTGACTAGATATTAACTTTTTTAAACACTTACCAAGATTTTTCATAA